GGACATTCACTAAGAAACTACTTTTATTGTGAAAAAAAAGATCTGCACACCGAATATTTTTGTAGTCTATCAGGACCATCATTTGTTTGTGACACTGCCTGCACCTCAGAGAAGGGATGGTTATAGTCAGGCTTATAAAGTGTGGCGAAAAACATAGTCAGCTGATGGGATGCATCTATTTCCACATCTACACTCCATCAGCTGATTATTTCTATTTGCCTCACTTTATGAGCTTCACATCACCTGTGCCTTGTACCACAGAGTTTGCAACGTCACAAATAAATGGGGCCAATCTTCAGTCAGATGTGAATGTGTAATCTAACATTTTCAGTAAGAACAATGGACAAAAGGAGTGCAAATACAATTTATTGAAATGTGAACCAAAAGTTAATCAAACATGTTTTAACTAAAAAGCACATATGGACAGAAGGTGTAAACCTATTAAATGTATAAGTAAACACATTTAGTCAAATAAAGTGACAGACTAGGCCTGTGCAGTTGGTATCAGCTATGCCCAGCATGGGCTCCTTCATCAGCCCTGGTCCTCCTCGCAGAGGAAAGACCCTCAGTCCTCTCCAAACCAACAGACAGGACGTCTATCACACGGAGGTTTCTCCCTGAAGTCTCTGCTGCTCTCTGGACACCATGCTGTCTCAATCCGTCAATGAAAATAATAAATGCTTTAGACAATAAGAAATATAAAGTTGACTGTTGAGTTGCTCAGTTTTTTTAGATTGTCAATACTATTACTGTATAACTAATATCTCAGGTTAAGAGACACCTTCAAATAAAGATTGGTCTTTAAATACATGTTGTCTTTTGAATTGTTTGTCTAAAGTCAAGGATCTAGAACTGGTACTTAGTTTTAATGATACAGTCTGGTTATTATGCTGTTTGGAGGAGGCATCACAGGTAAGAGCACTAACTAGCTTCCATCACATGTACCTTAGCTTGACTTAAATGTATTAAACGTATAGTTCAGTGATGGCAAAATATAAATAACTAATGTCATGCAAACATATTAATATTTGCTTGATTCCAGAGTTGAATTTAGCACAATTGCATACAAACGTGAAGGGATTTTAAGATTCTGAAGTCTTCGTTCTAAATAGAAAATAGCATGGATAATTTACAAAGGCTTTAAAAACACAGCAGGAGCCCAAGACAATTATAACACTTGTCATTATTTCAGTACAGTTCAATTGGTTTTATTTTCATAAACGGTTATCAACCGTTAGTGCCAAAGCAGTAGGCTATAATATATTAATTACTGCTCTAGACTACAACCACTACTTGTTTAGCTAGCATAAACTCAACAAAGCTAGCGTTAGCTGGCTGACTGACGTTATTTTGCCGCTAAACTGCACGATATAAAACGGTGGTCTTCAAAGCGGATTGAATCCTCAATCACAATAATAATATTCAAAGTAATACTGGGCAAGTAATGGGCAAAACTTACCGTTGATTGATGCGCCATGTCAGCGGACTGGTAGCGACACGAACCGTTAGCCCCGCAGTCATCCGGTTCGACGTGACTGTGTGACTGACCCGTATGGGCTCAGAACAGTCTCATAATACACAAATGCACACAGAAGGATTCAAACTTCTATTTCCGGATCCACACTTGTGTTTTTCAATGCACACACAAATGTATTCCGTTTCATATACATGTAAATAAAATCCAAATACAGAAAAAAGTTTTACATATGTATTTTTGATCCTCACATATTTGTTTTCCGTTTAAATCCCCTGAACCTACCAACACAAACCGCTTTCTGTGCACGGATCGCTGTGCATTCGTGTGTGGGTTTTTTGAGACTCTCCTGACGGTCAGCCGATTCGTACTTGTAATTTTTTCTATCTATAGCCAATCAGATGTCTCCTCAATTCTAAGCCAATCATATGAGCGCGCCCCCACGAGGGTAGATTTCTTGCGTTCATGACGTAGCGCTTCATGTACGCATTTTGCGCAGTCCGGAGCTGACAGCTCCATGGAGCCTGCCTGCAGGCGCTAATGTGTCAGGACCTATGGTCAGGACGCCTCCACTCTCAGTACATTGACACTTTCCGAACAGGCAATGCACGCAAATACAAGCCTTTATATTATTAAGGTACAGCGCCACTTTCCAAACCATTGATGAATGCTTGTGTACACAAAAATGGCAGGCAAAACGGTTTTAAATGTGTGTTTCCTGTATGGCGAATACAGCTGCTTTATTTATGTCTGTATAAAGTTGTTGTGAGTGTGGAGGGAGCAGCTACAGGTTAGCTTAGCCTAATCGATCAGTGCACTACGAAGCCTGTGCTAGACATTATCGGCCGATATTCACTCTTAATAGTTTGATCGGTGCTCTCTATAAAGGCCGATCAGGAGAGCTGGATCTGATCGATATGGACATAAACGCGAGTGAAGTATAACCGGACGCAAGAGAGAGATCAGATCAGCTGCTGAGTCTGATGGAGACACGCTGCTCTGCATGATCACCTGATGCTCCGCCCTCTGTTTAGCGAGCTGACCGGCATGCGCAAAATGCGTATATGAAGTAATCTTACCCTCGTGGGGGCGCGCTCATATGATTGGCTTAGAATGAAGGAGACATCTGATTGGCTATAGATAGAAAAAATTACAAGTACGAATCGGCTGACCGTCAGGGGAGTCTAAAAAAACCCACACACGAATGCAAAGCGATCCGTGCACAGAAAGCTGTTTGTGTTTGCAGGTTCAGAGGATTTAAACGGGAAAGTAATAAGTGAGGATCAAAAATACATATGTAAAACTTTTTTCTGTATTTGGATTTTATTTACATGTATATGAAACGGAATACATTTGTGTGTGCATTGAAAAACACAAGTATGGATCCGGATATACAAGTTTGAATCCTTCTGTGTGCATGTGTGTATTATGAGACTGTTCTGAGCCCATAGACCCGAGCCTGGTTGTTCTGATAGCTCCGCCCCTTTGCTCCAACCCCCCTCCCTCCCCCCACATCTACAGGTGAAAATTACTTTTGCAACACATTTATCGCAAGAAATGTAGCAAAAGTCAAGACCGCAGATTCGTCGATTTATACTGCCACAGAGCAGATTCGTCAAGTTGTAATGACTGATTTGAGAGGTTGTAATAAATAAAGTTGCAGTTGTAATGGAAAATATATTTAAAAAATATGTATTTTTCTGCAAGTGAACATTTCATCACTAAGTTCATTTTTTTTCTACAAGCTACAAAACTTTTTCTTTCTTCTGTGACTTTAAATTTGGTTCACAGTTACGTGGATATTTTATACAAGTGTACATTTGGTTCACAGTTACGTGGATATTTTATACAAGTGTACATTTGGTTCACAGTTACGTGGATATTTTATACAAGTGTACATTTGGTTCACAGTTACGTGGATATTTTATACAAGTGTAAATGTATGCACACAAACTCAGATTTTTTTTCTGCAAGTGCTCACATCAGGTTTTACACACTCTCGCATTTTGCACCATATCTACCTTCATATTTTACTGTCATTTTTTTCAGTAATCCAATGGTAAAGTCACTCCTAGAGAATGTAATATTTCCACCACCATGTTTGACTGCGCAACCCTGTCTCCTAAAAAGTACGTTCCCACAGAACTAAACCTCATTCTCAATTACGTTTAGCTAGAAACGTATTTTCTCCCACGTTACGTTCGTTATGAACGTATCTCAAATAAGTTTATTTTCTAAATATCTTCTAGAAACACATTTTCTCCCACGTTACGTTTCTATTGAATATCTTCAGCTTTCTGTCCCCAGAGTCAGAACTAAACATGGTAAAGCAGCGTTCAGTTATTATGCTCCAAATATCTGGAACAAACTCCCAGAAACCTGCAGGTCCGCTGCAACTCTGACTACTTTTAAATCCAGGCTGAAGACTTTTCTTTTTGTCGCTGCTTTTAATTGAACTATTCATATCTTAGACTGCACTGTAACTTTTATCCATGTATTTTTTCTTTTAATGTTTATTGTATTAGCTTTTCTTTTAATGACTGATTTTTAATGCCATTTTCTTAATGTCTTTCATTTTTGTAAAGCACTTTGAATTGCCTTGTGTTGAAAAGTGCTATATAAATAAACTTGCCTTGCCTTGCCTATGAACGTATCTCAAATACGTTTATTTTCTACATATCTTCTAGCAACATATTTTCTCCCACGTTAAGTTTCTTATGAACGTATCTCAAATACGTTTATTTTCTACATATCTTTGCCATTTATTGTCTTGCTTATAATAATGATAATAGTCATTTATAAATATCATTTTAGAGCACACATTTGAAATCAGTAGGCGAGGCTGTGTTATAGTACTTTGGGTTTTCTATTTTGTAATTTAATATACAAATTCAAACACCATGATTTATTTTTAATAAAATAAGGCATCATATTCCTACGAAAACTTAAAGTATTTTTATTGCTGTTATAGATCAACTTTAATGATTATCAAGCCGTGATCGCCTTTGTAAATATTGAAAGAACACACTGGAAGTTGCTGGTTAGTGATTGTTTTCATTCAGAAATCCCTTTCATTTAAATATGTATATATGTTTGATGCTGTTTTGAAATAACAACCCTTTTTTTTAGTACTTATTTCCTGCTATAAGATCAGTATTTTTGGTGGATCCAGCGGCAAATTCCAAAGAGAAAACAGACTTGGAAAATGCTACGAAAAGAATACGGTAAGTCAGCAAATTAGATATAAAGTGATCTTAGAATTATATTTAGTGCTTTGTGTTTAAGTAAACATAAGTATGTTAACAGAAGTTCCCAAACCCACACCACTGAAGCGGTGGTCTCAGCTGTTTTTTAAATGATATTTCCTTATCCCGCCCTTAGTATCTGTGTACACAATTCTAAATGAAGTAGCTCAGTAAGCAAGGTAACCTACAATATTTTCCAGTGTCCATACTGTTGGGATGGAGTGTTTTTATTTTACACAATATTTAAAGATTTTTATTCTACATGTGTCTGTTGGGAGTTACATTAGAGACTATTCCACAATGTGTTTTACAAAGGGAATACTTCAAGATGAGGAGGACCTGCTATGGCAAGGAGGACTGGGGGACTGTCAAATGGAGAGGAGCAACCATGCACCATCCAGTTCAACGTGATGGCAGTAGCTGTGGGGTCATTGTTACCATGGTAACGTAGTTTTTTACTTTAACTACTATATGTAATATGTATGCTTCTGCTACATATATATTCTTATATTTATTTCAGTGTCTTGATTATTATACAAGTTTAAAGTATAAAATAGTCAATGATGTTAAAAAATAAGTCATTAGTTTCTGAATTATCAATTTTCAGTTTATTTTTTAGGGGAATTGTGTAAAAGTGATAAGAGGGCTGGTTGTTGACACAACCCATGTAGTTTGTCATGTACATTCTTCAAGTTGTGTTAATTACCTCATTACAACTATTAGTTATTAATAGTTTGATCATTTTTATTGAAATATCAATTCAATGTTGTAATTTTACTGGCAAAAACAATGTAGCGCAGATGAGAAGTGTGATTCTGTGTGTTGGTGTGTAGATGGCAAGAGCAGTGATGGAGGCCTTTCCTGCATTACCAATTATGTCCTTTGGGACATCCAAAAAGGAGATGGCTTGTGAGAGGAGAAAGTTTGCACTTTCAATACTCAATGGTTCAGGTTTGTAAGTCATTTGTCCTGCTTTATGTTATGGTTCTTAGTTAGTTGTTATGGAAATGATGAACTTCTATTAAACCAATGCAATCAAACAAATCTACAATAACTACAGCCTGTAAAATTGCCTTTGAGTCCACACACTACAGCATTTATAGCCGACAGCATCATTGATTTTAAGCACAGGGCCCAAACCAAATATTCCATACATATCTCAGTTGAACCCATAACTTATATTTCTCTCACACACACTCCATTGAGACATTAACAGTTGAAGAATAACTTTTTTTCCTGCTGCAATAAGGAATGTAAATACTGACACTTAAACTGTCACGATTTGTGTTAGGAGAGCAGGGAAGAGGAAACGAATACAGATTGTACCAGGCATCCAGGAACAGTTTATAGGTGGTTTATTGAAAGCTTACAGGCAGAGTGGCAGGAGGCATGGGTGAAATATGGAACACAAAACAGGGCTTAGAGTGAAACAGTGACAAATATAAATTCCTGCATTTTTAAATGTGTTGCATACAGGTCATTGCCTAGTAATGTTTAGAATATTACGGATTGTTTATGTATGTCTGCTTATATGTTGTTCTGTTCACACTGTGTACATAGTCTTCTTTTTAAAACATCCATCCTTAAAAACATATTAAACCTGTGTTAATGATCCCATTCATGATCCATTTAGAGTTCATAAGCTATAATTTACAGCTGAACAGCTGCATAGAATTTGACTGCACTTCTGCTGCCAATAAACTGTTAACTGTATACATATACAGTATGTCTAAATAACATATTTTCTTTTCCTGCAGTGTTTCACATGGAGAACAACTGTGCAATGTGCTCTGCCTCAAAGCCCCCAGGATCTGGGCCTCCCACTACAGATTGGGTGAGTATTTGTCGTAGTGTAGTTATAATAGGGCTTCATCATATTCTAATCAAATTCAATTTATGATATTAGATGTATTTATAAAACTGTTGAGTCACTGGGTCTATCCAGATCAGGCGGTCCAGTGAAAACGCTGCAGGGCCATGCTTCGATTTCTACTTTTCGGCGCATGCCGAATAATTTTTTTACGGCAACCTCGTGCGTCGCCCCAGCTGCAGCCCACACACATTAACTTTATTCAAAATGACTGTGGAACCGATATAAATTGATTTACTAACAAAACAGTCAAGACAACTTCTCTCAGATAAATGGTAATGTATATACATTGTTTACACATATAATGAACAGAGAGAATATAAAATGTGATGAGTAGTGGAATAGGGATACTGACAATTCTAATCATGTCTAATAGCAACATATTCAATTAAAGTGTAACTTCACCCACATGATGACAATAGCCTCAATGCAGCGTTGACAAATATGACAAAGCTACATTAGCTTGGAAAATAGCAATATGGGGCACTGAATTAGCGCACCCCGCGGTTCCTCCACCTCACTCTACACCGCTGGGAGACTGACGGTACATGTCCACCAGATCAGGCCTGGAAACCAAGTTATACCTTGAGGCAACACTCCTAATGTAAAACGGACCACTTGGAAAGAGGTTTGTGTGTGTTATCTGCTGTTGTCCTCTTTCACACACCAACATCCTGTAAGTCACTATCAAAATATGGGAAGCAGGGAGAAGCAGCTCGTATGCAATACATACAGTAACTGACCAATTAAGAATACCAAAAGGTAACTACATTATAGTGATGCAACATGGGGTTTTCCCAGAACTATAAATCTTCTACCTATAACTACCTAAAAAACATTTGTATTTGAAAAACTGAAAATGTAGACATAATAGTTATTTTCAGATATTAAACTGGTGTTTGAGGTGAGTATGCTACAGACTATAGATACATGTAATAAAGTTGATATGAATCTAATTTTGTCAAAATTATTCTCTATTGCACTTCAATACTTCATCATTTCCGATGACAAGATGTATCAGATTTGATGGTGTCACAGTGTGACACCTGTGAAAGATGGTGCCATGAGCAATGCCTGGGGATTAATCAGGACCAACTCCAAGAAGCCAGGGCAAGCAATTGGAATTGCTTTCTCTGCAACTAGGGCAGAAGAACATGGCAGTGTCATATGTCTATGGAAGAAATGTTTTTAGACCACATTAAAGTTGACACAAATGCTCATTCTTGTTCTCTGGAGAGGACTTTGAAACTCAAATTACTAAAAAAGTACACAGTAAAAGTAGTTCATATTATTTGTGCAAGTACTCGTAGAAGTATTAAGTACAAACATGGCAGTTTCATAAACTACTTATGGAAGAAATGTTTTTTAGACCACATTAAATTTGACGAAAATGCTCATTTTTGTTCTCTGGAGAGGACTTGGAAACTCAAATTACTCAAAAAGTACACAGTAAAAGTAGTTCATATTATTTTTGCAAGTAGTACCATTAAGTACAAACATGGCAGTTTCATAAACTACTTATGGAAGAAATGTTTTTTAGACCACATTAAAGTTGACACAAATGCTCATTCTTGTTCTCCGGAGGGGACTTTGAAACTCAAATTACTCAAAAAGCACACAGTAAAAGTAGTTCATATTATTTGTGCAAGTAGTCTAAGAAGTACTAAGTACAAACATGGCAGTTTCATAAACTACTTATGGAAGAAATGTTTTTTAGACCACATTAAAGTTGACGAAAATGCTCCTTGTTCTCTGGAGGGACTTTTGCCATTCTCAAGAAGTACACAGTAAAAGTAGTTCATAGTATTTGTGCAACAAGTGTATGAAGCAATAAGTCCTAACATTATTCTCATAAATTACCCTGTTCCTCAATCGCAGATAATATAAATGACCCACATGCCATCCTTTACTTTGAAATCCTCACCGGAAGTGTTCCTGCACATACGAAACGTCCAGCTTCCCAGGGTTGTTTTATTGCATTACCGTAAACCTGTAACTAATCGCGCACTCGAAATACAGGGGCGGCTGGTTTGACCACGCAAAAGTGAAAGACGGCTGGCTTGACCGCAGTCGATAAACCAGGTGTATGACTAGTAAAGACAAATAATTAACAAATACATATCTGTATTAACACAGCAACGTGTACACTGGTGTTATTAGACTTGGCTACAGACTTAGGGCAGCTATAACTGATTGCAGTTGCCACTGCTAGTGAGATGCTAAGGTTTACTTTATAAATTAGGCAAAGGACTTATATTTGCCCCATGCCTTCAGCAGCAGCAGGCCATTCCCTTTGATTTGATCCAGTTATGAAATGTAATCATTTCGACAATAAAGAAATGCTACATAAACGTTATCTTGCACGTTTTATCGAACCATCTCCGTTTCTAACTTTCAATATATTTAAAAAGAGATCTCTCTCTCATCTGCGTGCGGGGGCGGGGCCTCACAGACATGCTGCTGCGCTGTGCACACAGTTCTGCCGGTAATGAATATGGAGAGGCGAAGTCCCTCCCCTTCCGAAAGCCTCCATGGGACCCCGGAAGCGGAAAATTATACATTGAAGTCAATGGAGAGAGAAAAGTTATCTTTTGATCCCGTTTGAATTGTGCCACGAATGACACATACGATGTTTGTCAATTTAAAAGAACATTTTGCAAGTCAAAAAAATAAAAATGTGTCGTAAAACTGTGAAGTTTCACATTTTTTTGTGTGAAACCGCTCAGTGAACTACAGGTCTCTGGTCTCGCACAATACGCGTCACCAACATAAAGATGGCCGTCACGTTAGCACATTTCACCACATTCTTTCAGAATGAGAATAACATTATTTTACGAGGTGAAAATCACTACAAGTCTGGGCACGTTGAGAGCCAGCATGCGGGACCGGCTTTACAAGGTTTCGGTGAGTAATATGAGTGCAATGTTTAACGTTAATGTCAGCTAGCTAACATTAGCTAACAAGGTACACTAACGTGTTTTGTTTTAGCAACTAGTTTTCTCCTTAAGAACTTCGTGGTCTCTGTGTATGCTGTGGATAACATTAGTGTTCACAAGAACAAGGTACACTCCCGTGTTTTGTTTGAGTTGCTCTTCAGATTGAAGCGGCCAGTTTTATATCGACTATACTGTATGTGTGATCTCCTTTTTCTCGTTGTGTCATTTGAGTTTATTTGCTGTGTGTAGATTCAAGGATTTTGGTTATCTAGGCACAGCTGTGTGTGACTCCCTCTGGTACACCGGTATGTGTTTTCCTAATGTAGAGAGCATTGATTAATTAATAAACTACACACTGAGTCTAGATCCTGACCAAATCCTTTTTTATTGTTGATCAAATGTTTTTCAAAAATGTATTCATACACATTTAGAAAAATACAATGTACAATCACAACCAATACAACACAAATTACAAAAAATACAGAAAAAACAAACAATAACAACAGATAAGAGGACAAAACTATGGAAAAATAAACCCTCCCACCCCCAGATCCGGACCATCCTTGTATTATTGCTCATTCAATCTATTATAGCATGCTAACAAATGGTACTTATTTTATTTTTACAGATCTGCATGGGAGACGATGGCGCGATGCAGAGCGCTGTCTGTGATTGTGCACAGGGGATGTACAAATGCAGCCACGCTGCAGCATTGGCAATATTTGCCATGTGGCAGATCAGCTCCACAGATGTTGAGTGCCAGTGGAGGAAGCCTGGCACTTAAAAAGTAGTCCAGCCGGTGTCTCAACTTTACCAACAGCGAGAGGAGACATACAACCCACTGGCCAGAGACATTGCCAACTGTCAACTGGGGGGTTGTAAACGAAGCCGAAGGGGTGAAGGCTTTTGTGGAGGCTTTTGTGGAGGCTTTTGTGGAGGCCTATCAAGTGACAGTGTTCGAATCGAGTCTGGTCTCTTTGTGAGTGAGTCGGGTGTTTTGGGAGCATCACCCGATGGACTTGTGCAGCCATCTGCCCTGCTGGAGGTGAAGTGTCCACACAGCCAGAGGAACATGACCATCGCGGAGGCAGTCCAGTTACCATCCTTCTGTCTCCGTGCGGAGGGTGGGTCATATATTCTCAAGGAGAATCACCCATACTGGCACCAGGTCCAAGGGCAGCTGCATATCACAGACCGGAGTCTCTGCTACTTTGTTGTGTGGACCACGAAGGAGGCGATCATCATCCCCATCCCCAAAGACCCTGCATGGCATGGAAATCTCCTCCTCCTGGAACAATTCTACACCCAGCATATGCTCCCTGTGTTGGCCAGTAGAGAGGAGGACATTTCAATAAACATACTCTTAACACCCTCGGACTCTGCGTTGTGTTTCGTATGTGTGATAGGGTGTTATGCAGAGGGGAGGAAAACAGGACACAGCAGATTGGGATTGTGGTGGAGATGCTGAGCAGTTATTTAATTGTTGCATGTAATTATTATTATACTGCGTGCTTCTGAGTTATTCCATCTTTTGCTGTAACATGTAACTCTATATTTACTTGTTATCTAACACACTTCCTTCTACATCATACACCATCATTATACATGATGGTGTATATAGGATATATATATTTGTATACATATCTGTAAATTGTATAATTTTATTTAAACGTCTTTTTGATCTCTCAAACTGAGTAAGATTGACAATAAAGTTGACTTTGAAAAATATATATATATTCTTTATGAAAATAGTTGACTGTTGTCAAATGAAACGTTGGATTGAACTACAACTATGCCTTTAAATCTCTACGGACTGTTTTTCAGTGGGATGGCAAGTTCCTATCTTTAAACATTTATTAGTTTTTTCTCAGAACAGATTTGATTTTCTGAAGTTAATTTAACTTTGCCGACCATGTAAGGTCATCATTAAAAGGTACAATCAATTTGTTTATGGTTGACTAAAATAATGAAAAACATTCATTTGGATAATTTACTGACAGAATAAGAAACTCAATGATGCTCTACTCACCTGTTCCTTTTTTATAAAGTGAAACAGTTGAAACGATAGATTTTAGTAAACTTAAAAACAACCTTCTCCAAAAGCTATCAAGGAATATACCGAATACTTGTTTTAGAACTTTATTACATAT